AAATTAAATAAACAAAATCTCAAGTATTCTGTCCTTTTTATACTTTAAATTCAAAATGCGTGGTAATGCATAATTTTTTCAATTATTTTAACTGATCAGAATTATTTAAAAGCGAGTATTTTAAATGAAAATCAGTTAAAATAATGCATTACCATTATGTTAACCGATTTTACTGCGCACGCACAAATTCGTAAGGGTCGATCGGTAGGCAAAAATGAATTTACATATTTATTTGTAATTATCCCAAATTCAATTTGGGATAATTTCAAATAAATGTACAAGTCTTTATTACTTGTATTTTAAAAAAAATTCAATAACGGTATATCGTTATTTACATATTTGAATTTCAGTTCCAAATGTGGCTACTCATTGCAAAACAACCACATGGTTGTTTTGCTCACCAACCAACTGCTCACTCTAAGACTGCAATGATTGCGATGCAGTGGCGGCGCCACGTGACGAGTGGACGCGCGGCGTTTTACCTTATGTGCATTTGTGATAGAGGGTAAGGGTAGGGTGAAAACGGACACACATTTATTCTTGAGTATGAATCTAATGCGTTGCAGATGCAGATGCGTTGTCACCCTTGAGGACTAAGATGAAATGCCTCCTCTCCAGTAAAAGCATGTTTTTCGTTCAATAGATACTAAGATTGAAATCACTGCGATTTAAATGGTAACGGCACTTGACAGTGAGATTTTATTTCGATAACAGTTAATTAATAAAAATAATAAAACGCCTTTTTTACCACGTGGTTATTGAGACGTTTTCGTGTCAGTCTGTTCTGGTGAAATTTAGTAATTGATTGTAAACTAACTTCCCCATGATCTGGACACTCTATATTTTGAACATAGCTCAAAATCGGATGACAATATGAAAAAAAATGTGTTATTAATTTTTTTATCTCAATAATTACGCAAAAGAATTAGTTAAAAAGGGAATTAATTGAAAATACTGTGGTCGTTAGAATTCTTTTTATTGACAACAAAACATAAGGAACCGGTGATGCTGCAGTGTGCGCGTCTCTGACTGCACCCTGCGGGAACTGACAGCAGGACACCGGGGGCTTCCAACAGTTACATACAACAAATGATATACATAGGTGATTTTATATAGCTTTTTACCACTAAACCCTAACGCTGACAACAACGCCCTGCTTATTGTAGTACATTATATGCCAAGGGAATAACTAGCGTTTGCACTGCACGGGTACTCTCTTGTATTGACACCCCCACAATAAGGAGCACATAGTTTGAATCATAATAATATAATAATAAGTTCTGTATCACCCAACTTCCAATAGGAATTTTAATGGTAGTACATACTTCTTTCTGCTTGCACACGGAACCCACGCTCTTGCAATGGCTCCACGACTCTTCTGCCACCAGGGCGGCGCCACTTAGGAATGAGGTGAAATATTTGACAGTAGACATATGTCAATCATTCATTTCTCGTGACCGAATCATTCTAGTACATTTCGTCACGCGTACCGGTACATTCGGATCGATCATTCAAATGGATCATTTCGAGCTCCAGTACCATACACTAAAAACAATTCATTCAGATCATTCGGGATTCGGTCGGTTTTCGACTCATTCACAATTCACACCAATCACGAGTTAAAAAGGTTCCGTCTATTGTTTGTGATTGGTTGTACTGGAACATTCAAAAACAAATGAATGAACCATCAATACTTTTAAGTGTACCAGCTCAAGCGAACGAATCTTTCACTGTTGACACATGTCCATTTGACAGATTACATGGGAGGCAGTTATTTTTTTAGGAAAATATAAAAAGAAACATTAATTTCTTTCTGTAATATTAGCTATATTTTATACTAAGTAGATTAGAAAATAACAAATTAAACTACAGATATTCATGAAAGTAGAATAATCAAGACTTAAAATGTTAAAAATATCATAGAGCAAACCACCGAGGCATTGCTTTGTGTTAAAAAAGTAAAGTAAAGTTACAGCCTATATACGTCCCGTAGTTGGGCACAGGCCTCCCCTCGTTTCTGAGATAATTTATAAACCGATATAATTTAATTAAAAATGCAACTTCTTAATTATATGACATTGTGTAAGAAATATTTCACCCCAGTCCCAAGTAGCGACACCTGGTGAACGGAAGTTATTGTTTATCAGCCCACATTCGTGGTTCAATGCAAAAAGAATATCGTTTGCTCGCTTAGGGCTTACGAACAACAAACAGTTCAACAGCAAATAGAATTTTCGACGTTTCGAACATAATATTTGACAATAAATACTTGAAATATTTTTTATACTAATACTTATGTTTCAATTTTTATAATATATTTCACTCAAGCTATCCATGTATATATGTTATGGAGGATAGATTGATAGCTTTCTTACGTATAACGTTTTGTGCTCAAATATTCTTCTTTATTTGAGGATATACATTTATGATATAATGATATTATATAGATATGAAAATGATTAACATAGGCATGACTAAATAGTAGTGATTATATACTCTGGGCTTGACTCAAAGCGACGGGACTCCACAGAAACAAAAGAATTCATGCAGTTTTACAACCGATTTATCACGAGCACTATGCGTTAGTGTTTTACGGTATTCACAAGACGCAAGTAAATCCAAAACCTAAAAATGTATTTAAAACAACCCGACTGCGTAAAAGAGAGTTGTTTTAGAAGTCGTCACATTATTGTCTTTCCTTTAAACGCACTTTTCTTTAGTTCGTGTCGAAAGGGTAGCATAAAAATGTTATAATATTACAATATAAATATATTTGGAATTGATTAACATTACTAGCTTTTATTTGATACCAATATTGTTGTAATTTATAAAAATAAACATCTTCTCCTCCATTTTTAATATTTGCAGATGCAATATACAAACATCATACAGCCTATGTCATTCCCACAATTAAGACAAATCTAACGACATCTCGTATCTCAAAATTTATGAAGCCGCTGAGGCTGCAGAGCGTGCCAAAGAAATGGACACACATACATACTTAGATACTCTCAAAAAACATTAATCTCCTTTTGAGGCAGTCAGGTAACGTAAAAACAACAATACTACATTTAAAATGTTCTATTGGTATTGGTAAATATGCATTATGCTCGTCCTCATAACATTATCTCGTTTTGGTTTAACGAAGCCGTAACTAACCGCTCCTATTAATTTCAAAGTTAATAACGAATGTATGATTAATTAGTTGTTTTAGTGATATTTGCTAATTCCAAGACCTGAACCATTCATCTGTTAACACAATCACAGTGAAATTGATAGGGTAATGGAAGCCCACGCAGCGTTATCGCCGCGGATATTCGTTTACGTGGAGCAACGTCTCTTTGGTCTGGAGCTTTGTCATGCCATTTGCAAACTCCAGTGCATAATGTACAAATATCAAATGTTGACAAGCAAGTTCACGCATATATCGATACACACACTAGTAACGTATGTACATTTGTAGATAAATGCCAATATTTATGTATTTTTATTTATAATCATTAAAGTAATATGTACCTACTACCTACTGGAACCGACACCGCGAACAAGATCCAGGTAAAATGCAGGCCGCGTGGACGTACTATTTTAGTAAGCTTGGGCTTTAGCGCTCGGTTCAAACGACCAAGCCTCGGCGTTCCATCTAGTACGTATTACATATTACTTCAATGCTAATATATTCTCTAATAGTATGTACCTATACTTACGAGTATTGTTTAAACAAACTTGTTACACAGAGAACAGCGAACACGGGGAGTACGTCCGACACGAGGGAAGAGACATCCAACTGTCAACTAAATTATACAACACTACAGTTTTTTATTTAACATACATACAAACTTCATACTCTAATACTGCTATAATATTTAGACATTTCGCTACTTAACATTAGAAGGCTGACTACACAGCGGTGGAGATCGTCCGAAGTTTCCTTATACAATCTTAGTTTTACTAAAATATAATATGTTAAATACTTATGTACAATACATGTAGGTAAATCAGTTTATATTACACAAATGTCTTGGCCTTCACGTAGTCGAAAGTTGTTGTGTCTTTATTGCCATGCATAGTCGCTACAATACTATGATTATATCTAATGGGATACGGGTACAAAAATATGAGCTACATTTTGTGGAATGTTTGTAACGACAACTTTACACTTTTGTTTTTATTAAGTATTATTGTTGTAGGCGTTGGTTCAGATTCAATTTGCATATATATTTATATAACATGATACTTTATGCTTGTTTTTCAATATTTATTCGTATATTTATAGCAACAACAGTAATTAAAAGCTCATTTGAACATAATTCTATGAGTATTAAAGTGTAGAGTAAAATTCACTGCTTAATAGCTATTTAAGATTTAGTTATTTAAAGTTTTGAATTTTAATACATTTTCATTTTGCCTTAAATAGAATAGCGACAATGGAGAATATAGGACACCCCTATGAAAAGTACATACATAATATCACAAGTTCGCGCTCCAACTTTTCGAAGAGATTATCTGAGATTGGATGATTACTATCTGTTGTTTGTATTTTTAAGTAACAATTATATGGAAAATGTCTTGTAAAAGTGTTAGTTTGCATGTTTACAACATATATTTTTATAATACTAGGAGTGATAACCGATATAGGTACATGTAAAGTTTAAACTAATGGTGGTTATCGCGGCCTATAGACATTTCCGCAAATGTCAAAGAAAGTTGGCTATAGATGCATTGAGGCCTAAGATGGACGGCCTCACATCCTGTGATTACATTGACTCTATCTTACGAATCGAAACACAGCAGCTCTGCTGCATCTGCTCATGCAGGAGGTAGGGTGGTAGTAGATATTTATTCGTGTTACATGTTAGACAGAAAGTGTGACCCATCTAAGATTGTGAAAACTTCGATGTGATATATTAACGGACTTGTGTATGTGTTTATGTATTTATGTAGATTATGTCCAATCTCGGAAACGTGTGCGAGGCGATAGGTATAGGTGTACACGGCTGCGTTTAATCGGAGTCCGAGTCGGAGGAGGGTGGTGCGGGCGCGTGCGGGGTGTCGGCGGGCGCGGGGGCGGGCGCAGGGGCCGCAGGGGTGCAGGCCGCCAGCGCGTACGCCGGCGCCGCCTGCCCACTCGTGCGCTCGATGCCCACGCTGCCGAACCAACGTACTCATTACACGCTCCTTATATAATATATTATCCTATACTACTATCAATAAAAATTTCTTATCAATCAAAATTTAGATGTGTTGTCACTCACACACTGAGGACTAAGATAGAATGGCTCGTTACCAGTAAAAGGGTTTCCGGTTCACTACAAGTGTCATTCTGCTCCATCAGGTCGTAAAAGTCCACTGATGGACACGGGCTTTCGTTATAGAGAGAATTCACCGTAGCCGTCATGCTTGACAAGAGGATTAACGATAACAGTGTCAGAAGTCTTGCATCTATGCTATTATTGCGATCAGTAAGTTCTTGTGTGATCGCTGCTATTGCTATACTTCATTGCTAAGCCTCTTCAACGAAATGAAGTAGTTGAGTTGTAGTTTCCCAGATGAGTGTTACGTTAGCGCATTTAGTTCAATCACTTAGAATATACCTACAGATAAATTTTTTCCGCCCCCACTGGTACTTATCGCCGGTCTAAGTATTTTACATCTGATACAAAAAGTAAAGTGAAGCAAAGTTACAGTTTATATGCGTCCAACTGCTGGGTACAGGCCTCCTCTCATTTCTAAAAGGGGTTTTAGGGCAAGAAAGTGTCCGCCGCGTTGCCCCAATGCGTGTTGACGAACTCCACATGTCTTCGAAATATTTCTTTTTCTTATTCCTCAGACATGCAGGTTGCCTCACGATGTTTTCCTTCAACGCCGAGCACGTGGTAAATTAGCACTTAAAATTGCAATAAACGATTTCATTGGTGCCGGTGGGAATTGAACTCGGGTTACTCGCGTTCTGTTATATTTACAGCGAACGTTAACCATCTGAGCTACCACGGCTCTAATACAACTCTGATCGATAGACGATCGTACATCACTGATACAAACGAGATGATTATACTACTAAGCCATAAAACCTTATACAGCTTATACTTTGATAAATGAGGGTACAAAATAAAAGATAATACAACGAAGGTGGGTAGAAGTCGAAATTCAGATTTGCTTAAACAGTTTAATCGTGCCTGGGCGGGTCTCACCATCAAAAAAATCGAACGATAGAAGCTCCTAGAGTGGCTAGATAACTCACAACCACACTGCAGATGATCTAACAATTCGTCATGAATCAAATAATTATCATCATTATCATTATAATAAAGCAAACCTGAAGCAGGCGAAGCTGTAAAAGTCAAAATGCTAACAGTACTAAACATTTCAGAAAATAGATATAGCATAACAGTCGTTCGAAGAGTATTAATCAGTGTAATAATTCTGTTTATTGTATAGTTCAATGTATAAATTAAATGTATAATATATTTTTGGGTTTAATAATATACTTCTCTTCCTTATTGATAGACTCGCTAGACACCTACAACAGATTCAATGAAAAAAATGTACTACTAGAACTAGTACATAAAAAGCTATTGTCTTTAAAGAATTTTTTTTATGATTAAGAGACTGATTTAGTTCAAGAATGCATACATTTTGAATGCCACCTTTCTTTTGAAAGAAATTTAGTGAAACCTTATTATGAATTATTGGAAACTTTATCTTCGTTATTGCAAAAATAGAAGTAGCAAAACGTTTATCCAATCTGATGTAGCAGTTCGTACGGTTTTATGTACACCAACGACAAATTGTTCGAGTAAGAGGAGCCTTTCTGGCTTTAAACGTGTGAAAAATTATCTAAGATATGCCGTGAGCCAAAAAAAGCTAAACGCCTTCAGGCTGTGCATGGAGTCCGCTAATGAACAAGATTTCATACGACGATATACCTAATTGATGATTTTGCGAATAAAAACTGGCTCAAGACGGTATTGCAAAACTTTCATAACTTAATTTATTGAATTTCATCATCATCATCATCACCAGCCGGAATGTTATCCGACAATTGTTTTATACAATAATGATGACAAACGAGCACACAGTCCACCTGATGATAAGTAGGTGTTGTGGCACATACACATCTAAATTTATCTTCAATTATGAATCAAAATGCAGACACGTTGTTACCCACAGGGACTGAGATGGAATGCCTCGTTTCCAGTAAAAAGGTTTCAGGTTACACACACTCACCATACGAAACACAGCAGCGTTGAGGTGCATTTCACTCTGGTATTCTGAGAGTGCGGGATATTTCCCCGGTCGAGCCGACCCATTCATAGTACAACTATAATATAGCTACAGCATGACTACTACGTAAAATTGAATGGATTGTTTTCAAAGTGTAAGCGCAATAAAAATTATTTAATTACGTTTACCGAATGTAAGTAGCCTTAAATCATACCTTATCCCGATTTATCGGTAGTACGTGATTGAGCTTTTATTAGCTCCAAAATATAACCGAAAAAAATTTCTTGTGCAATCTTAACTAAATCTTTGTGGCTTGTAAAAATAATCTAGAAACTGACTCATCGATCCCCTAGTTCAGTCATACTAATTACGGCAAAAAGGTGGTGTAATTAGGACTATAGTGTACGAGTCATAAAGTTACAATTTCATTGATTAAAAAATTGTAGTGCATACGTTTGTGAACCAAGGTATCGACTAGCAGAAGTCAGTGGAGGCGGCAAAATTTGAATAGCCTACTGGCGGCAAATGTGTCAATCCGCCACTGCTTCTAGCACTAGCACTACTATTTATTCAGTGCTTGTAGGAATTGCGTCGAGTACCAGTTTATTTTAGTAACATCTTTCGCTTGTAAAACATGTTCTTGTATTGCGTTACAAACTTGGCTCTCAAATATGTAGAGGCAAGAAAAAGTTTATTAAGTACTTTTAAATAAGTCGTTTTGTAGTAAATAATTTATAATATAAAAATATATATGGGAGATTTATATTTATATATAATTTATTTATTTATTTATAGTATAAATATTTATATTATATATAAATATTTATATATAATATAAATAGGAGAGGTCCGTGTTTACTACCGTGGGGAACAACAATTTGTTATTTTTAAATTCGGATCTTTACACCAGACCGGTGTTTTTTGAATTTATTTGCATTACTTCTACACGGTGACCTTTTTTCATATAATCACAATCAAATAATCTAAATGAGGTTTAACCAAAGACTTTATATGGTTTAATTGACATGTCTTGGGAGACATCGAGCTATAGTTCTTACAGCTCCTGTTAATTAATAGATTTTCCTATGGATCTTTTTAATATACTGTTTCCAGGTAAGTTGGCTGTCAAGAACAAGGCCTTAATATTTCTCGTTGTTAACTTTTTTATGTCATCAATCCGCTAAGACAGCACTAATGCGCAAAAGTATGAGTATCTACTGCACAGCTACAGTCACATATGATAAAATACCTAAAAGTTGGAAAGAATTGCCGTTATAGATATTTTTAAAAAAAGGCTTCGAAGCTTCTTGACAGTCAAAGCATACTATAGCGTAACAGTATTCTTGACTGAAAAACGTTTTTTAATTTGAGATTAATTTAAGACTGTATAATGTTAAAAATCTGAATTATGTTTGTTTCTATGTTATTATTTTATTTCGTTATAGCTGTTTAGGTGATTAGTTTATATTTCTGTATATTTTGCATGCGTATTGGTAAAATATGGCTGAACTCACTACCTATATTACCGTGTACTGTACCCATATTTACAAAATAAAATATCTCTTTTTATCTTTTGTCTTAGAATTTCACCATAAATAGAAAGAGGATTGTGACTTTTAATGTTTAACATCTTTTAATTTTCAGTTGTCACTGGGGAGACGCGGCTGCCCATTTCCTAGCTTTTTGTTCCCTCTCAATATCTTACATTACCATACCATCGAACTATGGGAGTGAAAGAATAGAGAGCGCAACTGTGAGCACTCGGCCAGTATAATCTTGTCCTACGCAATTAGCTAAATGCGTCGGGACTAGCTGCTGTGACCAAAATTTGTTATGGTTGACGTTATTTTTGCCTCCTGTGATGTTTTGCGATATCCGCGGGACTATATTTAGAATACAATGTACCCTACTTAAGAAGTACTCACGTGTACTCGTGCCTGGCGAGGTAGCGCACGTACTTCTCGGGCGGGTCGTTGTCGTGGTTCTGCAGCGAGACGGAGCGCACGGTGGTGTGCGAGACCTGCGTGGCTGGCATCGTGAACTCCACCGTGGCCCAGCGCGCTAGCTCCGCTGGCACCTGGTCGTACGACGTCAGCGCCATGCGGCACACCAGCGCGTGCGTCGTGTACGCACCTGCACGCACACACGCACACATCACACATCGCACATACTGCAGCACACACATCTACATCTTTATAAGTGTTTGAACCATGTTGCGGCTATATTAAAATTATAACACAGATTGGCTTGGGGTACGACCACGCTCTCACAAAATAGAATACTAGCGTAATAATAATAGCAGCGTAATGTTCTTGTGTTTCATATGGTAAGTGTAGTGAACCGGAGACCGTTTTTTCCAGAAACGAGGTATTCCAACTTAGTACTCAAGGGTGACAAACCATTTGTATTTCTATGAGCCACAACACCCCACTTACCATGAGATGGACTGTATATTCGTTTGTCACCCTTATTCTTTAAAAAAAAAACACCCAGCATTAGTTCAACAGGAAAAGAAAAACAACGCGTGCCGGTAATAATATCGGCCAATACCTTTCTAGTTTGTGGATCGACTCCTCCCTTCTTCATCATTCCCGCGGTGAACTTCTACTGGCTAAAATAGCACATTAACTGTCACGTTAGGCAAGAGAATTGACGATCACAATATCAAAATTAGATGCACTATTGATTGTACTCATCGGTTTGGGTATTTATTTCACATCTATCGTAAACAAGCCGGATATACCGTCGTGTATTTCCCCATAAGTTTTTTTGTCATTTAAAAGGAAATGTGATGCTAAATTATCTAATGCCGTTACTATATGGCTAATTATTTATAGTAATGTACTTTGCAGACACAACAGGCAGATAAGTTTGCAAGAAAATCTACTAGTGAAGCATTATGTTAGTGTGAAAGTTATATTATCATAGAGACGTTTGACGAAAAGACTGAAAGTTAGAAGATATAGAATTATTTTGTTATTGGTTAACTAAAACTATTTAGTCAATCGAATTCCATGTTAGCAAAAGTTATTACCACCGTCAACGAATATTAAATGAAATGTGGTATTCGTTAGCGTAGTATTCTAGGAACCACATTATTCTTTATTAACATTAATGACTTTTGTCGAACGAAAAGTTGACCTTGTCCTTCCTTGGGCAGACGCGGCATGCGCCACACGATAGCGCGGTGCTGGTGCTCGTACTTGGCCTGGCCGGAGGTCACCTCGATCAGCGACTCTTGCAGCGGTTCCACGGCACCCAGGAACCGCTCGATACCTTTGATCTTGCCCGTGCGACTGCACACACACACATCACATAATGCATCACTTTTCATATTAACAATATTATTTTAATAAAAAGACAAGATTTCCAAGCTTAAGACCCGCATTTAAAGAATGCGTGTAAAATTTTTCTGGCTACTGCGTAGTGCCTCACAGATTTACTTGTTTGTCAAAAGTAGTATTAATGAAAACTTGTACGGTCCGTTGTAAAAAAAACGTAAAAAGCGGTAATTGTTAAGAATATTCTGTGTGAAAATGTAACTGAAGATGTTGAATCTATTTTTTATGTTCTTTTTTAATGTTTTTATGTTAAATTGAATTTAATTTAATTGAATAACATTAATTAAAATTAAATAGGTAGATAGGGTGAATTAAATTAAATGAGATTATATTTATTACAATGTATATCACTTATCTCTCTCTCTATCGACTCTGTCTGAAATAAATTGGTTTTAATTTATTTTATTTATTTATTTTTTACTTCACACAAGTTTAGTTCTTACTATACTTTTCGACTATATATAGTACCAGTACCTACCCCTGGTAATGGAGAATTTATGAGCATCCACGCTACTCCATCAAGGGGCTTCACTCGAACCTAAACGCCATCCACACTACTATCTAGAGACAGTGAAGCCAGCTTTGTACTTTCTGACCGAGACGCAGGTGTCCTCTCCGGCCGATACTTCGTATCTCTCCCACCCGGGGTACAAATTTGAACACTGGGGCTCAGGACATCTGTTTCGACGCCTCAGCAGTTATGGACGCCTCTATAGGTCCCATGGCGGTAATGCCAAAACAGACCGACTTATTGACGACGTCCAAATGGCTGCAAATTCATTGCTGTCGCGCCAAATGGCTCGGTTCACATCTAACCGGTCATGCGTGGAGATATGATTATGATTTTGCATTGGCATATGGTCTGACACAACCGGAATGGATATAATAGTGGAATACTGTTCCATCATTGTACTGTACTGGGCCGAGTCTTCCCAGTGCCAGCTCTTTCCATTTGTCCGCATCCACCTCAGAGCGCCTAAAATCTTCGACGACCGAGTCCTCAACGATCGACTCGATACACTGGCGCTGCGAAGAATTGTTGCATTTCTTTGCATTTTCTATCGCATCTGCCACGGGTTGTGCTATAATAGATTTACACAATTTAAAATAATAAATAATATTAGGTTTGTTCAATAGGGGAGCGTTGTTATATGTGAGCGTGCGTGCGCACGTGTGTAACTGTGTGTGTCTGGGTGTAAGTGCGCGCATACGTATCTGTGTGTGGGGTGTGCGTGTGTGCGCGTGTCGGTACACGTACCGGTGCGCCGACTTGACGGAGCCGTAGCGGAAGTGCTTTTCGACGCGGAATAGATAGATCCAGCACTCGGGAATGGGGAAGCGCACGCTGACGTCCTCGCACGGCACCTGGCCCAGCCGTCGCGACGCGAAACCCGGCACCAGCGCGTCCGCGCGCAACTCCACCTGCCGTCCGCCCGCAACACGTTTATACCAGTGTAAAATAGCAACTTGATGCTGCTGTGTTTCGTATGGTGAATGTAGAGAACCGGAGACCATTTTTATTGGAAACGAGGCATTCCATCTTAGTCCTCTGCTGAACTTATTATTAGGTGGACTGTGCGCATGTTTGTCACATATATTCTATAAAAAACGAAACTGTCTTTATCATTAATATTTTTTGACTAATATTGCTCATGGCAACAACTTACAATATGCTGTACACTGCTATGAACACTGTATCACATATTGATGTTGTTCATAAATTATGCAAAAATATTATGACTATGCAGAAATACAATACTTCCTGTCCTTAAATATTTGAATTTTGAGAATTTGATTTAAAAAAGTTACATTATGGAGGGATGTTGAGCTGATTGTTTGCGTGTTACATGGTGTGGAGGAGGAGGAAGTTTTAGTTATGTGGTTTACGCACGATTCCTTTGTCACCCACGTTTTATAAAAAAAGTCGCGGCTCAGAAGGGAAATCGGTCTGTAGTTCTTCAAGAGAGCGTTGTCGCTTTTATTGAAGAACAAGACCACCGCACTTCTGCTGCACGCATTCAGAGTAGTGCAACGGCAATTGTTAATTTTATAATTTAATACGGACACGACTGGAAACTACCACGTGAGTAAAGAATTATAAGGAATTATAACATATGTATTGTATTGTAATAGAAAACAGATGATGAAACTAAACAGACAAAACAGCACCGTCTTGCTTGTAACAACTATAAGATAATTGATATTTTAGTTAGCGGAAGGTTGCAAAGTAATAAATTTTTTTTTATAACAACTATAACATAAAAAACTACGTGAAAATCCCCTGATGAGGTAAACCACGAGGGAGGCTAATGTTTCCCGGCGAAATTTTATAGGCTGTAATGGATGGATGGATGTGTAAGTAGCCGAAGCAGAAGTCGAACCTTGTTCCCCGTGACACACCAGACGGCTTTCAGCTGCAGCGGCAGCTCGCGGTTCTTGGGCGGGCGCACGCGGAACCGCATCAGCTCGATGTAGCACGCGTCCGGCGGCTTGAACCTGCACGACATTCAACTCTCATTACTTACTCACACTACGTGTGGGTTTTTATAGAAGAGGGGCAAACGAGCATACGGCTCACCTGACGGTAAGTGACTACAGCCGCCTATGATCAACTGCAACACCAGGGGAATTGCAGGTGCGTTGTCGGCCCTTTAGAAAGGAATAAACTCTTATCTTGAAGGTCCCTAGGTCGTATCGGTCCGGAAAAATCGCCGGTAGTAAACTATTCCATAGAGAAGTCGTACACGTAAGAAAACTCATTGTGAAGCGCACAGTGGTGGATCGCCAAGCGTCCAGAAATTGGTTTTATTTCTGTGCTGACCAAAGTGTAAGGTTATTGTCAAAGACTGCTTTACCGATACTCGTATCAATTAAAGGTAATAAAACTAAATACAATTACCACATAAATACTGATTCTGATTGCGCACTAACGGGACCCACAGTGCTTTTGGTCCGTGCTATACCAATAACAGCTAATAGCGACAACAGAAGAAGACAGTGAAACACTTAAAGGATCGGTATTATAATTGAATCTGAAAACACAAACGACCACAGTTTGGTTGCGATTCTAAATGTATAACCAATCTCAACAAGTTATCGCAAAACCTAAGGTTTAATAGTTTTTGAAGCAAGATTACGTGATGTACACGGTCCGAGGCCTATTTTAAGTCCATATTGCAAGGTGTCATCAATCTTTCGTAGTTTAATATTGAAATTAACTTGGAGTCTTACAGTTCGTTATTTTGTACTTCTTGTGAAGGTGCAAAAAAAGCATGCCTATATAGTGCAGCTGTGCATTAGACTATAAATGCAGATAGTATTTTGTCTGAGTCTTTAGTAATATATTACAAAATCACAGAAAATATAAAAATCTACAAAATTTGACCTGCTCAAAGTCTAAAAACTTTATTAAACTAAGTTTGTATAAAAAGGGTTATAATAATGTTAAGGAATGAATGAATGATAATAACCCCTGGAATGAGGTGATCGCTACCAAGCTGTTCTAATTTGTTTTGTTTGGATTAACTGTGTGACGTATTTGAATGTAAGCTGTTTTTTTAAGACCCGCTGGTTTTCTTGCTGGTTCTACCAGGACTCAGGTTTTTTTACGAACCAGTGGTAGAAACAAAATAGTGATTTTCAATAAGTAGATATTATTTATAATGTATATTGAATCGAATTAAAAAGTTCTGTTTCTGTTTAAGTATTTGAGGTGGTTATATTCTACCTCATTTGCAGTTTACAAATGTGGTAGAATTACCTTATGTTTTTGCACAAAATTGACAGATAATTTAAATTATATTGGTATTTACGAATTTTATAGTGTATAATAATTTATTTTTAATATTCCCGAACGTTTCAAGTACTTTGCAGCAACCGTTATCACGTGGAGGCGGAAGTGTCCCTATGTCATAGTTAATCGCGGCTACCTACCTTTAGTTTAAAATTTGGGACGCTGACTGAAACTATAACTTATAGTTTCATATAAATGTTTAGTGTTCGCGAAAAGATAAGAAATCATTATTGACACATAATGCTGAAATGAAATTTAAAATAATTGGAAAGAGGTGTAAAGCGCTTTTCGCTTATTGATGCATCATCAAATGGGATAAAATTCATTCAGAGTAGTAATAGTAATCTAATTTAAAATTTCAGAAAAATTTACAAATATACGATCAAATATTGCTTCTAAGTGATAAATGGTTGTAAAGCTGCAAGTAAAAAGGCGGCGAGCACCTGAGTATCTGGTCCTTAGCGAATTGGTCGGCCTGCACGCAGGCGTGGAACTGTGCGTTCTCGACGCGGATCCACTCTTCGGTGGCGCCGGGCACGATGTCGTGGCGTCCCACCACCTCGCGGCCCTGCCGCCGCAGGTCATTCAGTCCCACCTCCACGTCCGGCATGCCTGCGCACCACCACCACCCACCATTTGCACACTTACTATACTCCATGTACATTCATTTTATTTCATTTACATGACGTGCTAGCTACCACCGGGACATTTACGTGGTAGAGCCAAAGTGCAGCTGTACGACGCTCTGTGCAGCTATACTGACGCTCTGTGCAGCTATACCGACGCTCTGTGCAGCTATACCGACGCTCTGTGCAGCTATACCGACGCTCTCACAAAATACCAGCGTGAAACAGCAGAATAATGCTTTGTTTCGTGTAGTGGGGATAGAGATCTGGAGAGCCTTTATATGGGCAACGAGGCATTCTATCAGAGTCCTTAGGATGACAACGCACCTGAATTTTTATTGTTAATCGAGGATGTCTATGAACCACAGGATTCAGGTACCTTCACGTGAACTGTGTGATCGCTTATCTTATCTTTATTTCATTTAAAAAAGCGCTCATTTTAATTTCTTAGGATACGAGCAAAATCAAAATTTGAAATCATTCAAATGGCTTAATGCAATTTTCTGTACTGACTTACCATATGTTTGACGTTAATCGAAAATATTGTGAAATAACGTACGTGTTTAACATTTTTTTATAGAATAAGGGTGACAAACGAGCACACAGTCCCCCTTATGGTAAGTGGATGCTGGGCCCATAAACATCTACTATCAACCTCGATTAAGAATCAAAATCCAGATGCGTTGTCAGCCCTGAGGACTAAGATGTAATGCCTCGATTTCAGTAAAAAGTGTCTCCGATTCTCTACACTCAATATACGAAAGACAGCAGCTTTAAGCTGCTATTTTACGCTGGTATTCTGTGAGAGCGTGATCCTTTCCCGATCGAGCCGACCCATTCGTGCTACAACCATAATATAGTTGCAGCGTGGCTCTACCACGTATGAAATTATTTATTAATTTATGTACATTTTTATAGTAAGTAGGTAGATTTTATCTGGATTTCTAATGTGTCTGTCCTTATTTGGGACCTATCATTACAGTTATAAAGGGGGAGGGTTATTAATGTTTTCCTAATGATAACTAGAAAATACAAATACAGATTTGCAAAATGTGACAACCATATTAAATAACCTTCTAATGAGACAATGCATGGGGGAAGCTGTGGTCAGCGGCGAGCAGTGGACATTGATTGGTTGCAGTGTACATTGATTGGTTGCAGTGTACATTGATTGGTTGCAATGGACATTGATTGGTTGCAGTGTACATTGATTGGTTGCAGTGTACATTGATTGGTTGCAGTGGACATTGATTGGTTGCAGTGACATTGATTGGTTGCAGTGGACATTGATTGGTTGCAGTGGACATTGAGTGGTTGCAGTGGACATTGATTGGTTGCAGTGGACATTGATTGGTTGCAGTGGACATTGATTGGTTGCAGTGTACATTGATTGGTTGCAGTGTACATTGATTGGTTGCAGTGTACATTGATTGGTTGCAGTGGACATTGATTGGTTGCAGTGGACATTGATTGGTTGCAGTGGACATTGATTGGTTGCAGTGGACATTGATTGGTTGCAGTGGACATTGATTGGTTGCAGTGGACATTGATTGGTTGCAGTGGACATTGATTGGTTGCAGTGGACATTGATTGGTTGCAGTGGACATTGATTGGTTGCAGTGGACATTGATTGGTTGCAGTGGACATTGATTGGTTGCAGTGGACATTGAGTTGGTTGCAGTGTACATTGATTGGTTGCAGTGTACATTGATTGGTTGCAGTGGACATTGATTGGTTGCAGTGGACATTGATTGGTTGCAGTGGACATTGATTGGTTGCAGTGGACATTGATTGGTTGCAATGGACATTGATTGGTTGCAGTGGACATTGATTGGTTGCAGTGGACATTGATTGGTTGCAGTGGACATTGATTGGTTGCAGTGGACATTGATTGGTTGCAGTGGACATTGATTGGTTGCAGTGGACATTGATTGGTTGCAGTGGACATTGATTGGTTGCAGTGGACATTGATTGGTTGCAGTGGACATTGATTGGTTGCAGTGGACATTGATTGGTTGCAGTGGACATTGATTGGTTGCAGTGGACATTGATTGGTTGCAGTGGACATTGATTGGTTGCAGTGGACATTGATTGGTTGCAGTGGACATTGATTGGTTGCAGTGGACATTGATTGGTTGCAGTGGACATTGATTGGTTGCAGTGTACATTGATTGGTTGCAGTGGACATTGATTGGTTGCAGTGGACATTGATTGGTTGCAATGGACATTGATTGGTTGCAGTGGACATTGATTGGTTGCAGTGGACATTGATTGGTTGCAGTGGACATTGATTGGTTGCAGTGGACATTGATTGGTTGCAGTGGACATTGATTGGTTGCAGTGGACATTGATTGGTTGCAGTGGACATTGATTGGTTGCAGTGGACATTGATTGGTTGCAGTGGACATTGATTGGTTGCAGTGGACATTGATTGGTTGCAGTGTACATTGATTGGTTGCAGTGTAATTGATTGGTTGCAGTGTACATTGATTGGTTGCAGTGGACATTGATTGGTTGCAGTGGACATTGATTGGTTGCAGTGGACATTGATTGGTTGCAGTGGACATTGATTGGTTGCAGTGTACATTGATTGGTTGCAGTGGACATTGATTGGTTGCAGTGGACATTGATTGGTTGCAGTGGACATTGATTGGTTGCAGTGTACATTGATTGGTTGCAGTGGACATTGATTGGTTGCAGTGGACATTGATTGGTTGCAGTGGACATTGATTGGTTGCAGTGTACATTGATTGGTTGCAGTGGACATTGATTGGTTGCAGTGGACATTGATTGGTTGCAGTGGACATTGATTGGTTGCAGTGGACATTGATTGGTTGCAGTGGACATTGATTGGTTGCAGTGTACATTGATTGGTTGCAGTGTACATTGATTGGTTGCAGTGGACATTGATTGGTTGCAGTGGACATTGATTGGTTGCAGTGTACATTGATTGGTTGCAGTGTACATTGATTGGTTGCAGTGGACATTGATTGGTTGCAGTGGACATTGATTGGTTGCAGTGGACATTGATTGGTTGCAGTGGACATTGATTGGTTGCAGTGTACATTGATTGGTTGCAGTGTACATTGATTGGTTGCAGTGTACATTGATTGGTTGCAGTGGACATTGATTGGTTGCAGTGGACATTGATTGGTTGCAGTGTACATTGATTGGTTGCAGTGGACATTGATTGGTTGCAGTGGACATTGATTGGTTGCAGTGGACATTGATTGGTTGCAGTGGACATTGATTGGTTGCAGTGTACATTGATTGGTTGCAGTGTACATTGATTGGTTGCAGTGGACATTGATTGGTTGCAGTGGACATTGATTGGTTGCAGTGTACATTGATTGGTTGCAGTGTACATTGATTGGTTGCAGTGGACATTGATTGGTTGCAGTGGACATTGATTGGTTGCAGTGGACATTGATTGGTTGCAGTGTACATTGATTGGTTGCAGTGTACATTGATTGGTTGCAGTGGACATTGATTGGTTGCAGTGGACATTGATTGGTTGCAGTGGACATTGATTGGTTGCAGTGGACATTGATTGGTTGCAGTGGACATTGATTGGTTGCAGTGGACATTGATTGGTTGCAGTGACTTGATTGGTTGCAGTGGCATTGATTGGTTGCAGTGTACATTGATTGGTTGCAGTGGACATTGATTGGTTGCAGTGGACTGATTGATTTGGTTCGTGTTTGATTGGTTGCAGTGGACATTGATTGGTTGCAGTGGACATTGATTGGTTGCAGTGGACATTGATTGGTTGCAGTGGTACATTGATTGGTTGCAGTGGACATTGATTGGTTGCAGTGGACATTGATTGGTTGCAGTGGACATTGATTGGTTGCAGTGGACATTGATTGGTTGCAGTGGACATTGATTGGTTGCAGTGGACATTGATTGGTTGCAGTGGACATTGATTGGTTGCAGTGGACGTTGATTGGTTGCAGTGGACATTGATTGGTTGCAGTGGACATTGATTGGTTGCAGTGGACATTGATTGGTTGCAGTGGACATTGATTGGTTGCAGTGGTACATTGATTGGGTTGCAGTGTACATTGATTGGTTGCAGTGTACATTGATTGGTTGCAGTGGACATTGATTGGTTGCAGTGGACATTGATTGGTTGCAGTGGACATTGATTGGTTGCAGTGGACATTGATTGGTTGCAGTGGACATTGATTGGTTGCAGTGTACATTGATTGGTTGCAGTGGACATTGATTGGTTGCAGTGGACATTGATTGGTTGCAGTGGACATTGATTGGTTGCAGTGGACATTGATTGGTTGCAGTGGACATTGATTGGTTGCAGTGGACATTGATTGGTTGCAGTGGACATTGATTGGTTGCAGTGGACATTGATTGGTTGCAGTGGACATTGATTGGTTGCAGTGGACATTGATTGGTTGCAGTGGACATTGATTGGTTGCAGTGGTACATTGATTGGTTGCAGTGGACATTGATTGGTTGCAGTGTACATTGATTGGTTGCAGTGGACATTGATTGGTTGCAGTGGACATTGATTGGTTGCAGTGGACATTGATTGGTTGCAGTGGACATTGATTGGTTGCAGTGGTACATTGATTGGTTGCAGTGGACATTGATTGGTTGCAGTGGACATTGATTGGTTGCAGTGGACATTGATTGGTTGCAGTGGTATTGATTGGTTGCAGTGGACATTGATTGGTTGCAGTGGACATTGATTGGTTGCAGTGGACATTGATTGGTTGCAGTGGACATTGATTGGTTGCATGGACATTGATTGGTTGCAGTGTACATTGATTGGTTGCAGGTACATTGATTGGTTGCAGTGGACATTGATTGGTTGCAGTGGACATTGATTGGTTGCAGTGGACATTGATTGGTTGCAGTGTACATTGATTGGTTGCAGTGGACATTGATTGGTTGCAGTGTACATTGATTGGTTGCAGTGTACATTGATTGGTTGCAGTGGACATTGATTGGTTGCAGTGGACATTGATTGGTTGCAGTGTACATTGATTGGTTGCAGTGTACATTGATTGGTTGCAGTGGACATTGATTGGTTGCAGTGGACATTGATTGGTTGCAGTGGACATTGATTGGTTGCAGTGGACATTGATTGGTTGCAGTGTACATTGATTGGTTGCAGTGGTACATTGATTGGTTGCAGTGACTGTTGAGTTGCAGTGGACATTGATTGGTTGCAGTGGATGTGGTGCAGTGTATTGATTGGTTGCAGTGGTACATTGATTGGTTGCAGTGTACATTGATTGGTTGCAGTGGACATTGATTGGTTGCAGTGGACATTGATTGGTTGCAGTGTACATTGATTGGTTGCAGTGTACATTGATTGGTTGCAGTGGACATTGATTGGTTGCAGTGGACATTGATTGGTTGCAGTGGACATTGATTGGTTGCAGTGTACATTGATTGGTTGCAGTGTACATTGATTGGTTGCAGTGGACATTGATTGGTTGCAGTGGACATTGATTGGTTGCAGTGTACATTGATTGGTTGCAGTGGACATTGATTGGTTGCAGTGGACATTGATTGGTTGCAGTGGACATTGATTGGTTGCAGTGTACATTGATTGGTTGCAGTGGACATTGATTGGTTGCAGTGGACATTGATTGGTTGCAGTGGACATTGATTGGTTGCAGTGGACATTGATTGGTTGCAGTGGACATTGATTGGTTGCAGTGGACATTGATTGGTTGCAGTGTACATTGATTGGTTGCAGTGGACATTGATTGGTTGCAGTGGACATTGATTGGTTGCAGTGGACATTGATTGGTTGCAGTGGACTTGATTGGTTGCAGTGGACATTGATTGGTTGCAGTGGACATTGATTGGTTGCAGTGGACATTGATTGGTTGCAGTGTACATTGATTGGTTGCAGTGGACATTGATTGGTTGCAGTGGACATTGATTGGTGCAGTGCAGTGACATTGATTGGTTGCAGTGGTATTGGTTGCAGTGTACATTGATTGGTTGCAGTGGACATTGATTGGTTCCAGTGGACATTGATTGGTTGCAGTGGACATTGATTGGTTGCAGTGGACATTGATTGGTTGCAGTGGACATTGATTGGTTGCAGTGGACATTGATTGGTTGCAGTGGTTCATTGATTGGTTGCAGTGGACATTGATTGGTTGCAGTGGACATTGATTGGTTGCAGTGGACATTGATTGGTTGCAGTTGACATTATTGGTTGGTGTACATTGATTGGTTGCAGTGGACATTGATTGGTTGCAGTGGACATTGATTGGTTGCAGTGGACATTGATTGGTTGCAGTGTACATTGATTGGTTGCAGTGGACATTGATTGGTTGCAGTGGACATTGATTGGGTTGCAGTGGACATTGATTGGTTGCAGTGTACATTGATTGGTTGCAGTGGACATTGATTGGTTGCAGTGGACATTGATTGGGTGGCTTGGTATACATTGATTGGTTGCAGTGGACATTGATTGGTTGCAGTGGACATTGATTGGTTGCAGTGGACATTGATTGGTTGCAGTGCATTGATTGGTTGCAGTGTACATTGATTGGTTGCAGTGGACATTGATTGGTTGCAGTGTACATTGATTGGTTGCAGGTCATTGATTGGTTGCAGTGGACATTGATTGGTTGCAGTGGACATTGATTGGTTGCAGTGGTACATTGATTGGTTGCAGTGGACATTGATTGGTTGCAGTGGACATTGATTGGTTGCAGTGGACATTGATTGGTTGCAGTGGACATTGATTGGTTGCAGTGGACATTGATTGGTTGCAGTGTACATTGATTGGTTGCAGTGTACATTGATTGGTTGCAGTGGACATTGATTGGTTGCAGTGGACATTGATTGGTTGCAGTGGACATTGATTGGTTGCAGTGTACATTGATTGGTTGCAGTGGACATTGATTGGTTGCAGTGGACATTGATTGGTTGCAGTGGACATTGATTGGTTGCAGTGGACATTGATTGGTTGCAGTGTACATTGATTGGTTGCAGTGGACATTGATTGGTTGCAGTGGACATTGATTGGTTGCAGTGTACATTGATTGGTTGCAGTGTACATTGATTGGTTGCAGTGGACATTGATTGGTTGCAGTGGACATTGATTGGTTGCAGTGGACATTGATTGGTTGCAGTGGACATTGATTGGTTGCAGTGTACATTGATTGGTTGCAGTGGACATTGATTGGTTGCAGTGGACATTGATTGGTTGCAGTGGATATTGATTGGTTGCAGTGGACATTGATTGGTTGCAGTGGACATTGATTGGTTGCAGTGGATACATTGATTGGTTGCAGTGTACATTGATTGGTTGCAGTGGACATTGATTGGTTGCAGTGTACATGATTGGTTGCAGTGGACATTGATTGGTTGCAGTGTACATTGATTGGTTGCAGTGGACATTGATTGGTTGCAGTGGACATTGATTGGTTGCAGTGGACATTGATTGGTTGCAGTGTACATTGATTGGTTGCAGTGGACATTGATTGGTTGCAGTGGACATTGATTGGTTGCAGTGTACATTGATTGGTTGCAGTGGACATTGATTGGTTGCAGTGGACATTGATTGGTTGCAGTGGACATTGATTGGTTGCAGTGTACATTGATTGGTTGCAGTGGACATTGATTGGTTGCAGTGGACATTGATTGGTTGCAGTGGACATTGATTGGTTGCAGTGGACATTGATTGGTTGCAGTGGACATTGATTGGTTGCAGTGGACATTGATTGGTTGCAGTGGTACATTGATTGGTTGCAGTGGTACATTGATTGGTTGCAGTGGACATTGATTGGTTGCAGTGTACATTGATTGGTTGCAGTGGACATTGATTGGTTGCAGTGGACATTGATTGGTTGCAGTGGACATTGATTGGTTGCAGTGGACATTGATTGGTTGCAGTGTACATTGATTGGTTGCTTGGACATTGATTGGTTGCAGTGGACATTGATTGGTTGCAGTGGACATTGATTGGTTGCAGTGTACATTGATTGGTTGCAGTGGACATTGATTGGTTGCAGTGGACATTGATTGGTTGCAGTGATTGGTTGTACATTGATTGGTTGCAGTGGACATTGATTGGTTGCAGGTTATGGTTGCAGTGGACATTGATTGGTTGCAGTGGTACATTGATTGGTTGCAGTGGACATTGATTGGTTGCAGTGGTACATTGATTGGTTGCAGTGTACATTGATTGGTTGCAGTGGACATTGATTGGTTGCAGTGGACATTGATTGGTTGCAGTGGTACATTGATTGGTTGCAGTGTACATTGATTGGTTGCAGTGGACATTGATTGGTTGCAGTGTGACATTGATTGGTTGCAGGTGCAGTGGACATTGTATTGGTTGCAGTGGACATTGATTGGTTGCAGTGGTACATTGATTGGTTGCAGTGGACATTGATTGGTTGCAGTGGACATTGATTGGTTGCAGTGTACATTGATTGGTTGCAGTGTACATTGATTGGTTGCAGTGTACATTGATTGGTTGCAGTGTACATTGATTGGTTGCAGTGGACATTGATTGGTTGCAGTGGACATTGATTGGTTGCAGTGGACATTGATTGGTTGCAGTGGACATTGATTGGTTGCAGTGTACATTGATTGGTTGCAGTGTACATTGATTGGTTGCAGTGGACATTGATTGGTTGCAGTGTACATTGATTGGTTGCAGTGGACATTGATTGGTTGCAGTGGACATTGATTGGTTCCAGTGGACATTGATTGGTTGCAGTGGACATTGATTGGTTGCAGTGTACATTGATTGGTTGCAGTGGACATTGATTGGTTGCAGTGGACATTGATTGGTTGCAGTGGACATTGATTGGTTGCAGTGTACATTGATTGGTTGCAGTGGACATTGATTGGTTGCAGTGGACATTGATTGGTTGCAGTGGACATTGATTGGTTGCAGTGGACATTGATTGGTTGCAGTGGACATTGATTGGTTGCAGTGTACATTGATTGGTTGCAGGACATTGAGTTGTGACATTGATTGGTTGCAGTGGACATTGATTGGTTGCAGTGTGTACATTGATTGGTTGCAGTGGACATTGATTGGTTGCAGGTTGACATTGATTGGTTGCAGTGGACATTGATTGGTTGAGTGGACATTGATTGGGGTGGACATTGATTGGTTGCAGTGGACATTGATTGGTTGCAGTGGTACATTGATTGGTTGCAGTGTACATTGATTGGTTGCAGTGGACATTGATTGGTTGCAGTGGACATTGATTGGTTGCAGTGTACATTGATTGGTTGCAGTGTACATTGATTGGTTGCAGTGGACATTGATTGGTTCCAGTGGACATTGATTGGTTGCAGTGGACATTGATTGGTTGCAGTGGACATTGATTGGTTGCAGTGGACATTGATTGGTTGCAGTGGACATTGATTGGTTGCAGGGGACATTGATTGGTTGCAGTGGACATTGATTGGTTGCAGTGTACATTGATTGGTTGCAGTGGACATTGATTGGTTGCAGTGGACATTGATTGGTTGCAGTGGACATTGATTGGTTGCAGTGGACATTGATTGGTTGCAGTGTACATTGATTGGGTGTGCAGTTCATTGATTGGTTGCAGTGGACATTGATTGGTTGCAGTGTACATTGATTGGTTGCAGTGTACATTGATTGGTTGCAGTGGACATTGATTGGTTGCAGTGGACATTGATTGGTTGCAGTGTACATTGATTGGTTGCAGTGGACATTGATTGGTTGCAGTGGACATTGATTGGTTGCAGTGGACATTGATTGGTTGCAGTGTACATTGATTGGTTGCAGTGTACATTGATTGGTTGCAGTGGACATTGATTGGTTGCAGTGGACATTGATTGGTTGCAGTGTACATTGATTGGTTGCAGTGTACATTGATTGGTTGCAGTGGTACATTGATTGGTTGCAGTGGACATTGATTGGTTGCAGTGGTACATTGATTGGTTGCAGTGGTACATTGATTGGTTGCAGTGGACATTGATTGGTTGCAGTGGACATTGATTGGTTGCAGTGGACATTGATTGGTTGCAGTGTACATTGATTGGTTGCAGTGGACATTGATTGGTTGCAGTGGACATTGATTGGTTGCAGTGGACATTGATTGGTTGCAGTGGACATTGATTGGTTGCAGTGTACATTGATTGGTTGCAGTGGACATTGATTGGTTGCAGTGGACATTGATTGGTTGCAGTGGACATTGATTGGTTGCAGTGTACATTGATTGGTTGCAGTGTACATTGATTGGTTGAACAGTGGTGCTACATTGATTGGTTGCAGTGTACATTGATTGGTTGCAGTGGACATTGATTGGTTGCAGTGGACATTGATTGGTTGCAGTGTACATTGATTGGTTGCAGTGTACATTGATTGGTTGCAGTGGACATTGATTGGTTGCAGTGGACATTGATTGGTTGCAGTGGACATTGATTGGTTGCAGTGGACATTGATTGGTTGCAGTGGACATTGATTGGTTGCAGTGGTACATTGATTGGTTGCAGGTGACATTGATTGGTTGCAGTGGACATTGATTGGTTGCAGTGGACATTGATTGGTTGCAGTGGACATTGATTGGTTGCAGTGTACATTGATTGGTTGCAGTGGACATTGATTGGTTGCAGTGGACATTGATTGGTTGCAGTGGACATTGATTGGTTGCAGTGGACATTGATTGGTTGCAGTGGACATTGATTGGGTGCAGTGGACATTGATTGGTTGCAGTGGACATTGATTGGTTGCAGTGGACATTGATTGGTTCCAGTGGACATTGATTGGTAGCAGTGGACATTGATTGGTTGCAGTGGACATTGATTGGTTGCAGTGGACATTGATTGGTTGCAGTGGACATTGATTGGTTGCAGTGGACATTGATTGGTTGCAGTGGACATTGATTGGTTGCAGTGGACATTGATTGGTTGCAGTGTACATTGATTGGTTGCAGTGGACATTGATTGGTTGCAGTGGACATTGATTGGTTGCAGTGGACATTGATTGGTTGCAGCGGTTACATTGATTGGTTGCAGTGTACATTGATTGGTTGCAGTGGACATTGATTGGTTGCAGTGGACATTGATTGGTTGCAGTGGACATTGATTGGTTGCAGTGTACATTGATTGGTTGCAGTGGACATTGATTGGTTGCAGTGGTACATTGATTGGTTGCAGTGGACATTGATTGGTTGCAGTGGACATTGATTGGTTGCAGTGGTACATTGATTGGTTGCAGTGGACATTGATTGGTTGCAGTGGACATTGATTGGTTGCAGTGTACATTGATTGGTTGCAGTGGACATTGATTGGTTGCAGTGGACATTGATTGGTTGCAGTGGACATTGATTGGTTGCAGTGGACATTGATTGGTTGCAGTGGACATTGATTGGTTGCAGTGGACATTGATTGGTTGCAGTGGACATTGATTGGTTGCAGTGGACATTGATTGGTTGCAGTGGACATTGATTGGTTGCAGTGGCATTGATTGGTTGCAGTGGACATTGATTGGTTGCAGTGGACATTGATTGGTTGCAGTGGACATTGATTGGTTGCAGTGGACATTGATTGGTTGCAGTGTACATTGATTGGTTGCAGTGGACATTGATTGGTTGCAGTGTACATTGATTGGTTGCAGTGGACATTGATTGGTTGCAGTGGACATTGATTGGTTGCAGTGTACATTGATTGGTTGCAGTGGACATTGATTGGTTGCAGTGGACATTGATTGGTTGCAGTGGACATTGATTGGTTGCAGTGTACATTGATTGGTTGCAGTGGACATTGATTGGTTGCAGTGGTGGGACATTGATTGGTTGCAGTGGACATTGATTGGTTGCAGTGGACATTGATTGGTTGCAGTGGACATTGATTGGTTGCAGTGTACATTGATTGGTTGCAGTGGACATTGATTGGTTGCAGTGGACATTGATTGGTTGCAGTGGACATTGATTGGTTGCAGTGTACATTGATTGGTTGCAGTGTACATTGATTGGTTGCAGTGGACATTGATTGGTTGCAGTGGACATTGATTGGTTGCAGTGGACATTGATTGGTTGCAGTGGACATTGATTGGTTGCAGTGGACATTGATTGGTTGCAGTGGACATTGATTGGTTGCAGTGGACATTGATTGGTTGCAGTGGATGATTGGATTGGTTGCAGTGTACATTGATTGGTTGCAGTGGACATTGATTGGTTGCAGTGGACATTGATTGGTTGCAGTGGACATTGATTGGTTGCAGTGGACATTGATTGGTTGCAGTGGACATTGATTGGTTGCAGTGGACATTGATTGGTTGCAGTGGACATTGATTGGTTGCAGTGGACATTGATTGGTTGCAGTGGACATTGATTGGTTGCAGTGGACATTGATTGGTTGCAGTGGACATTGATTGGTTGCAGTGGACATTGATTGGTTGCAGTGGACATTGATTGGTTGCAGTGGTGCATTGATTGGTTGCAGTGGACATTGATTGGTTGCAGTGGACATTGATTGGTTGCAGTGGACATTGATTGGTTGCAGTGGACATTGATTGGTTGCAGTGGACATTGATTGGTTGCAGTGGACATTGATTGGTTGCAGTGGACATTGATTGGTTGCAGTGGACATTGATTGGTTGCAGTGGACATTGATTGGTTGCAGTGGACATTGATTGGTTGCAGTGGACATTGATTGGTTGCAGTGGACATTGATTGGTTGCAGTGTACATTGATTGGTTGCAGTGGACATTGATTGGTTGCAGTGGACATTGATTGGTTGCAGTGGACATTGATTGGTTGCAGTGGACATTGATTGGTTGCAGTGGACATTGATTGGTTGCAGTGGACATTGATTGGTTGCAGTGGACATTGATTGGTTGCAGTGGACATTGATTGGTTGCAGTGGACATTGATTGGTTGCAGTGGACATTGATTGGTTGCAGTGGACATTGATTGGTTGCAGTGGACATTGATTGGTTGCAGTGGACATTGATTGGTTGCAGTGGACATTGATTGGTTGCAGTGTACATTGATTGGTTGCAGTGGACATTGATTGGTTGCAGTGGACATTGATTGGTTGCAGTGGACATTGATTGGTTGCAGTGGACATTGATTGGTTGCAGTGGACATTGATTGGTTGCAGTGGACATTGATTGGTTGCAGTGGACATTGATTGGTTGCAGTGGACATTGATTGGTTGCAGTGGACATTGATTGGTTGCAGTGGACATTGATTGGTTGCAGTGGACATTGATTGGTTGCAGTGGACATTGATTGGTTGCAGTGGACATTGATTGGTTGCAGTGGACATTGATTGGTTGCAGTGGACATTGATTGGTTGCAGTGGACATTGATTGGTTGCAGTGGACATTGATTGGTTGCAGTGGACATTGATTGGTTGCAGTGTACATTGATTGGTTGCAGTGGACATTGATTGGTTGCAGTGTACATTGATTGGTTGCAGTGGACATTGATTGGTTGCAGTGTACATTGATTGGTTGCAATGGACATTGATTGGTTGCAGTGGACATTGATTGGTTGCAGTGGACATTGATTGGTTGCAGTGGACATTGATTGGTTGCAGTGGACATTGATTGGTTGCAGTGGACATTGATTGGTTGCAGTGGACATTGATTGGTTGCAGTGTACATTGATTGGTTGCAGTGGACATTGATTGGTTGCAATGGAAATTGATTGGTTGCAGTGGACATTGATTGGTTGCAGTGGACATTGATTGGTTGCAGTGGACATTGATTGGTTGCAATGGACATTGATTGGTTGCAGTGGACATTGATTGGTTGCAGTGGACATTGATTGGTTGCAGTGTACATTGATTGGTTGCAGTGTACATTGATTGGTTGCAGTGGACATTGATTGGTTGCAGTGGACATTGATTGGTTGCAGTGTACATTGATCGGTTGCAGTGGACATTTATTGGTTGCAATGGAAATTGATTGGTTGCAGTGGACATTGATTGGTTGCAGTGGACATTGATTGGTTGCAGTGGACATTGATTGGTTGCAGTGTACATTGATTGGTTGCAGTGGACATTTATTGGTTGCAATGGAAATTGATTGGTTGCAGTGGACATTGATTGGTTGCAGTGGACATTGATTGGTTGCAGTGGACATTGATTGGTTGCAGTGGACATTGATTGGTTGCAGTGGACATTGATTGGTTGCAGTGGACATTGATTGGTTGCAGTGGACATTGATTGGTTGCAGTGTACATTGATTGGTTGCAGTGGACATTTAGTGGTTGCAGTGGACATTGAGTGGTTGCAGTGGACATTGATTGGTTGCAGTGTACATGATTGGTTGCAGTGGAAATTGAAATAAATATTAGAGAAATTAAAATGAAGTCAGCTAAATAGTATATACGCAAGTATGTGCGATCACTGACCGCTGAGGAAGCCGAGGAAGAAGATGCGCACACGTGCAGTTTGTTTGATCACGGAGCCCTCAGCATCCTGCTCCACCACCAGCTCGTCCACAGCTGTCAGCTGGACCTGCACACATCATTTTCATCATGATAACAATGTTCCTTACACCGAACGTAAAAACGTAATAAACGTATATAATGCGACACTTGCAGAAAGCATTGTTAAATATTTCGCACAATGCACAACACGCACTGGTTGTACAATCTTGTTTTGAAATTTTGTGTTATGCCTGACGAGAGTTTAAGCGACAGTAGCCTAATGGCAGGGCACGGACCGCGAACTCAAGAAGGTCGTGGGTTCGAATCCGCCATTCGACTACTGGCGTGAACCACTCGTTACACAAACATTTTAAGTTTACCACGAGTGGTTAAGGGGAATATTAGTAATGTTTATAGCATTGTTAATATTCTTTTTTAAAAAAGAGAAAAAACAGAAAAAAAGAGAAGATGTGTCGTTATCTCTCGAACGGTACCCAGCCGAGTTGAATCAATTGAACTCTCGGTCGAAGTTGGATTTACCTAGTCAGACTATTTGTCCCAGGTAAACACACACCTTAACAACCTCGAGCTTAGTGTTCCCAACAACTACCGGCTTAGGTGTGAATTGGATGTTATTTATGCCTTTTGTTTTGTCCATGTTCACCTTAAGGTTTATCCGTTGAGAAACACTATCGAGGTCGTTAGGTATAGTGCATAGGATCTTCGTCCATTTTGCCATAAGGACTATCTCGTTGGCAAATCGAAGGTGAATGATGAACTCGCCGTTGACATTAATATCGTAACCTTTTCAGTCAAGTAGCTTGACAGCTTCCTCTAATGCAGTAGTAAAGAGTTTCGAGGATACTACGTCACGCTGTCTTACACCTCTCTGTAATTGGATAGATTTCGTACTTTGCTTCTATAATCGGACAGCCGTCGTAGTTCTCTTGTACAAACACTTTAGCACTTCGATAAACTTTTGGATAACGGCTAGTTCGGGAAACCACACTTCTGCTCTACGCCTCCGTAATAGTAGCACCATATAGATGGGAATTATTAATAATAATAATAATAAGTTTATTCTTTCCTCTCACAAATTTAGTAATAAATATAAACATACAACATATTAATATGCTACGATTAATTTGTGAGAGACTGGTGTCCGTACTAGGATTCCCTGTATGACAGATCACCAGCCCCCACCTTCAGACTAACTTATAATTTAGGTAATATTAGGTGTATGATAAACAAAAGAAAAAAACCAATAAAAATATGAAAAACGTTTTGTGTGCGTGTGTCTGTGTGTCCGTGTGTCCGTGTGCGTGCGCGCGCGTTTGTGTGTGTGTGTGTGTGTGTGTGTGTGTGTGTATGTGTGTGTGTGTGTGCTTATGTTTATAGCATTTAGTTTTTATTTAATGATTTTAAGTAGTTCCTCAGTCGTTTCATAATATTGACTTAGTAACCATAGGGTTACCATATTTTTGCATTTAAATTTGGGAAATTTTAATACAGATAGAATGGAATTAATTTTATTATATAGATGAGAACCCAAGAAGCAGAGAAATTATGTGTAAAGCTTCTTTTGTATGGTAAAATGGGACAAATTTTTACTTTTATTTCTTTTATTTGTAAAAAGAGAAGGATTGTAATATAACAGAGAATGTTGTTTTAAAATAGTGTGGAGAATAAATAATTGGCGGACTGTGAGAACTTTACAGCTTTGGTATAGGTCTTTAGTGGGATAGAGAAATGGAAAGAAGTGACTCACCTTAAGAAGTGCTCTTTGGGCACGTTCTAATTTAAGTTGATGTGATTTAGAGGTACCACCCCAAGCTGTTATGTAATAGGTAATCAATGATTGGCAAAGTGACAAGTAAGTTGATTTTATTATTGTTTCGTCTGCCACATGTCGAATATTCTTAAAAATATAGATCAACTTGCGCAATCTATTAGTTAGAAGATTAATTTGTGCTTGAAAATTCAGATTACTGTCAATTATTATACCTAAATACTTTATTTCATTTACTTTTTGGAGCAAAGGACAAGAACAGTCAATAACATTATTATAATTATGACAGATATGTACTTTTATATGGAGATTAGGTGAAATAGGTGTGTTAAGTTTTTGAAACGTGAATGACATATATTTAGTTTTAGAGACATTTAGCATTAACTTATTATGTGTTAGCCAGTTCATAATTACATTGAAGCCTTTTTGGGCATACAAATATGCTTCGTCCCATGTATCAGCGCTGAATAAAAGCGCAGTATCATCGGCGTAAGAAGCAAGAGTTCCATTTATCAATTTTAACTGGCACATGCAGTTTATATAGGCCAAAAACAGGGTAGGACCTAAAATACTACCTTGTGGTACGCCATGAGAAACGGGAAGATCATCACTAATCCAATTTCCTATTTTAACACATTGCGATCGGTTAGTGAGATAACTTTCAAAGAATTTTAATTGCGATCCTCTGACTCCCAGCTTGTATAGTTTGTGAATTAATAGTGGAACAGAGACCGTGTCAAATGCCCTAGCCAAATCCAGAAATACTATTTTTTTTTTCCGTATGTTTAACAGTACAACCCCAAAACTCATGAACTGCGTCACTTGTAGCTTTGCCATTTCTGAAACCAAATTATACATGTGACGGGAGATTTTTGGATTCAAGATACCTGACTAGTCTATTATTTACGACTTTTTCCAAAATTGTCGAAAATGCTGGCGGTACAGAAATGAGCCGATAATTATCAACACAGTCCCTATTACCACTTTTATAAATAGGGTGACTCAAAGAATGTTTGAATTCATGAGAAAATACTCCATTATTTAGAGATAGATTACAAATATATTTAAGTACAGGTGTAAGAATATTTTTGTATCAGTGTATTCAATAAAATCAGTGTATCAAACAAATATATGTAAGTACAGGTGTAAGAATATATTGTTGTATCAGGTGTAAGAATATTATGTATGTGTGTGAAATTAAAGAGCTTCTGAAGTTTAAGTACTGGTTTTCCACCAGCTCCGCTGTAATTTCATTCTCGCCTGGGGCCTTGTCGTTATAGCATGTGGCAAAACTTAAATGATTTTCAATAAGTATTCTTGTATTCTATATTGAAAAAAAAAGATTCTGTTATATTCTATTCGTTC